TATGAGCAGAAATACTTGATCCCAAACGTTGGGCTATATATCAAATTGAAGCTATTGAAAATTGCTATTCGGTGTGGAAATTTCAAGACTTCAGCGAAAAGAAAAATATTTAAAAAATACAAAAACAACTGCAAAACGGCAAATTATCGGTAATTATGTTTGTAGTTTTTCAATATTTCCCTTTTAGCTAAAGTCTTGAAATGTCTACACCAAATAGCGTTTTTCAATAGCTTCAATTTGATATATAGCCCAACGTTCAGTGTTGAGTATTTCTGCTCATAACTCAGAAAAACTAAAATGCACTGGCTTCAATTTCCCCCCCTGAGTTAGCCTTCCAGTTTATTTATAGTTCCCTGCGTGTCCCTCATTACCCAAAACTGCGCCCAAGGTCAGTATGTTCAGCAGTCTTACCCAGCAAAAATAGAAGGATGTAACAAAATATTCTAAATTTACTCAGCAAATGTCTTCAACTTGATCAATTTTTAGATTTCCACAAAAAGATCAATGTTATCTTAAAAAAAGGTATGTATACTGGTAGTTTTTCTTGTCTGTTTGCTGTATTAGTGCTTATTGTTTACTTTTGTGCAGTGCTGCACGTATTAATATGCTAAACGTGTGAAAATGTATGAGCTGTTTATACTGTACGGGTACTGTAGTCATGTATTAAATTCATGGACACGTGTATGATTAGCGTTCATCTCTAAGGATTCCATTTTCTAGGTTAGTATATTTTTAAATGTTTCGCATGAATGTAATTGTGATTTTTGAAGTGTGTAGGGAGTCAATGGCAAGTGTCTGTATTAATGAGACGAACATCCAAAGTCAGAGAAAATTTATATATTCAATTTATTGAACAGGTATTAACATGCAATATTTCAATTCATGTTACTTTCTCTTGCTGTTGTTTTTTTATCCAGTTGCAGACAAAATCATATTTGTTGATTAATATAGTCACATGATAGTCACATGCAACTCTTGAGATGCCATAGTCTAATGGCATCGTCTAATGTGTTCAGCCTCTTTTCCATTCATCGCAAGAGCAAGCTCACTGCAAGTGTTATCATCGCAGTCCTTGACTCTTTACGTTAAGAAGATCCAAATACTCGTAGCAAGTGCAAGAGTTGATTTTTGTAATGAGTGGAAGAGAGCCTCCTATCAGGGACGTCGCTACAGGGAGGGGTGTAACACCCCCCCAATAATTCAAAATGGTCAAAGTTGGTCAACCCCCAATGCTGATGTCTTCACGACGTCCCTGCCTCCTATTAATAGAAACAAGAGAGACAGTGAGATATTTTTCACTCCAGGAAAACATGGATAGTGTTGTTCCAAGATTGTCACAACTTTTAAACAGAGATCCGTATCTTCATCCTTACACGCATGAAATTGAGAGAAGGTAAGGAGACTGAGTCATCATCAGCATTGTGTGTGTAGAGAGTGTTGTATCACCATCACATTGAGCATTGAGCACCAGTGCTATCCCAAGTGACAAGTAGTATTTGACAAGTAATATTTTGAATTATTTATATCTGTCAAATTATATTGTCAAATTATTAATATCAAATTATTAATATTAATATTATTATTAATATTATTTATTCAAATTAGAAATATGTAGTGTTAGACAGATATAAATAGTAGGGTGCATTGTGGTGCCATGCAAGTCAATGGTTATAGTGTCTGCGCCTGATGTAGAATAGAGCTATTGTATATTATATAAAGTTAATTTTTAGTTGAGATTTGTTGTGTGAATATTGAAGGTACAAGATATTTGAAGAGAATCTCAGGAAGATAGATGAAACAGAGGGTGGTATTGACCAGTTCTCACGAGGTTACGAAACATTTGGACTAACAAAGCAAGATGACGGTTTAACATACAGAGAATGGGCACCCGGAGCTAAAGCTGTTCATCTGATTGGAGATTTTAGTAAGTTTGCACCGTCATCACCATCATCATCACCGTCATCACCATCATCACCATCACTACCATCATCATCACCATCACTCACACTACCATCATCATCACCCATCATCACCATACCATCATCATAATCACTCATACCATCTCATCATAATCACTATCACTAATATCATCACTACCATCATCACCATCACCACCATCATCACTACCATCACCATCATCACTACCATCATCACTACCATCATCATCATTATCACCATCACTACCATCGCCATCATCATAATCACTATCACTAATATCATCACTACCATCATCACCATCACCACCATCATCACTACCATCACCATCATCACTACCATCATCACTACCATCATCATCATCACCATCACTACCATCATCATAATCACTATCACTAATATCATCACTACCATCATCACCATCACCACCATCATCACTACCATCACCATCATCACTACCATCATCACTACCATCATCATCATTATCACCATCACTACCATCGCCATCATCATAATCACTATCACTAATATCATCACTACCATCATCACCATCACCACCATCATCACTACCATCACCATCATCACTACCATCATCACTACCATCATCATTATCACCATCACTCACATCATCATCACCATCATCACCACCATCACAACGATCATCATCACCATCAATACCATCATCATCACCATCACTACCATCACTACCATCATCATCATAACTACCATCGCCATCATCACCATCATCATAACCACTATCACTAATATCACTACCATCATCACCATCAGCACTACCATCATCATCATCGCTACCATCATCACTACCATCATCATCATCACTACCATCATCACTACCATCATCATCATCACTACCATCATCATCATCACTACCATCATCATCATCACCATCACCACTATCGTCATCATTTCTACCATCACCATCATCACTACCATCATTATCACCATCACTACTATCGTCATCATTTCTACCATCACCATCATCACTACCATCATTATCACCATCACTCACATCATCACCACCACTACCATCATGATCATCACCACCATCAAACCATGTCAAAGTAACCAGTACTTTTCCCTCCATTCAAGACAACTGGGACCGTAGTTCTCATGCATGTTCTGTGAATGAGTTTGGCGTTTGGGAGCTAAAGATTCCAAATAAACCAGATGGCTCGTCACCAATCGAACATAAATCCAGGGTTAAGGTAGGAAAATAACAATTTAGAACTGCTAGATCTATCCAGTGTAATAAAGTTCTTTTACTAGATTCAAAATGGTTTTCTTCTTAGGTTGCGATAACTAAACACGACGGCAACCAAGTTGACCGCATTTCACCCTGGATAACCTACGCTGCTCCGCAGTCTAACACAGATTTGTACGAGGGAGTCCACTGGGATCCCCCACAACCCTACCACTGGCAGAACCCTCGACCCTCAAGACCTAAAAGTTTACGCATTTATGAGTCACATGTTGGAATTGCGTCCAACAAACTAGAAGTTGCGTCATATGACCATTTTTCACAGAATGTGATACCACGTGTAAAAGATCTTGGTTATAATTGTGTTGAACTAATGGCGATAATGGAACATGCATACTATGCATCTTTTGGGTATCAAGTGACCAATTTCTTCGCTGTGTCCAGGTGGGTTATGGGACCTCTAGGGAGAACAGTTTAGAACTGATAGAGCTATCCTGTATAAATAAAGTTAGTTTAGTTTAGGTTTCCTCCTGTAGTAACACTGGATCAATAAGAGATGATCCTTACTGGACCTCAAGGAAGAACAGTTTAGAACTGATAGAGCTATCCAATATAAATAAAGTTAGTTTAGGTTAGGTTTCCTTCTGTAGTAACACTGGATCAATAAGAGATGTCCAGGTGGGTTATGGACCTCTAGGGAGAACAGTTTAGAACTGATAGAGCTATCCTGTATAAATAAAGTTAGTTTAGTTTAGGTTTCCTCCTGTAGTAACACTGGATCAATAAGAGATGATCCTTACTGGACCTCAAGGAAGAACAGTTTAGAACTGATAGAGCTATCCAATATAAATAAAGTTAGTTTAGGTTAGGTTTCCTTCTGTAGTAACACTGGATCAATAAGAGATGATTCTTACTGGACCTCTAGGAAGAACAGTTTAGAACTGATAGAGCTATCCATTATAAATAAAGTTAGTTTAGTTTAGGTTTCCTCCTGTAGTAACACTGGATCAATAAGAGATGATTCTTACTGGACTTCTAGGGAGAACAGTTTAGAACTGATAGAGCTATCCAGTATAAATAAAGTTAGTTTAGTTTAGGTTTCCTCCTGTAGTAACACTGGATCAATAAGAGATGATTCTTACTGGACTTCTAGGAAGAACAGTTTAGAACTCATAGAGTTATCCAGTATAAATAAAGTTAGTTTAGTTTAGGTTTCCTCCTGTAGTAACACTGGATCAATAAGAATTATTCTCACTGGACCCCTAGGAAGAACAGTTTAGAACTGATCAGAGCTATCCTGTATAAATAAAGTTAGTTTAGTTTAGGTTTCCTCCTGTAGTAACACTGGATCAATAAGAGATGATCCTTACTGGACCTCAAGGAAGAACAGTTTAGAACTGATAGAGCTATCCAATATAAATAAAGTTAGTTTAGGTTAGGTTTCCTTCTGTAGTAACACTGGATCAATAAGAGGTGATTCTTACTGGACCTCTAGGAAGAACAGTTTAGAACTGATAGAGTTATCCAGTATAAATAAAGTTAGTTTAGTTTAGGTTTCCTCCTGTAGTAACCGGATGAGCTCAAACACCTGATTGACACAGCACATGGTCATGGTTTGCTGGTAATTCTTGATGTGGTACATAGTCATGCCAGTAAGAACACCATGGATGGTTTAAATCAGTTTGATGGTACCAATGGATGTTATTTTCATGACAACCCAAGAGGATTTCACGATCTCTGGGATAGCCGATTGTTTGATTATACACAGTAAGTAGAATAACATTGACCTAAATCTCAACGATACAATTCCATAAAAATTCAAAAGGGCAAATCCCAAATTATGTAATTCTTGAAATTTTCAGCACCTCGGTCTAGTTATACAATTTTTTTAGATGGGAAGTCTTGCGTTTTTTGTTATCGAACTTGCGATGGTATTTAGAGGAATATAAATTTGATGGATTTCGTTTCGATGGTGTCACCTCGATGATTTATCATGACCATGGTTTGGGGCACGGGTTTGGCGGCGACTATCCAAGTTTCTTTGGCCTGGGGGTCGACACGGAGTCTATCACCTACCTACAGCTTGCCAATCATATGATGCACACTATTCACCCTGATGTTGTCTCGATTGCTGAGGTAAAAACTAACTTTATTTATACTGGATCAGTTCTAAACTGTTCTTGCTAGAGGTCCAGTAAGGATCATCTCTTATTGATCCAGTGTTACTACAGGAGGAAACCTAAACTAAACTAACTTTATTTATACTGGATAGCTCTATCAGTTCTAAACTGTTCTTCCTAAAGGTCCAGTAAGGATCATCTCTTATTGATCCAGTGTTACTACAGGAGGGAACCTAAACTAAACTAACTTTATTTATACTGGATCAGTTCTAAACTGTTCTTGCTAGAGGTCCAGTAAGGATCATCTCTTATTGATCCAGTGTTACTACAGGAAGAAACTGGAATACCTTGAGAAAACCTGCTGTGTTTGGTAGAGTCAAACTGGAAGCACTCTTCTCACATGTGACTGAGGTGAAATTTATAATGAGACAACTGGATATTGCAGGAATCAAACCTCAGTCACAGAGATGAAAGATACATGCACTGACCATTGTGTCACTAATGTTTGTCTATATTTTCAGGATGTTTCAGGCATGCCTGCACTCTGCCGTCCCATCAATGAAGGTGGCATTGGATTTGATTATCGTCTTGGAATGGCCATACCTGACAAATGGATAGAAGTTAGTAAACATTTTTAATACTGGATAGCTCTATCAGTTCACAGTTCTCGCTAGAGGTCCAATAAAGATCGTTCAAAGTGTTGCTACAGGACATTAAATTGTTTTTCATTAGTTATTAAAGAAGTGCAAAGATGAAGATTGGGACTTTCAGGAGTTATACCATACCATGACAAACAGGCGTTATATGGAGAACACCATCGCTTATGCCGAGAGCCACGATCAGGCTTTAGTCGGAGATAAAACTATCGCATTCTGGTTGATGGACAAAGAGATGTATGACTTCATGTCAGTGACATCTTATTTAACTCCTATCATTGATCGAGGACTGGCCTTGCATAAAATGATAAGGTATGTGTGGTGATGATGATGGTGATGGTGATGGTGATGGTGATGATGATGATGATGGTGATGGTGATATGGTGATGATGATGATGATGGTGATGATGATGATGATGGTGATGATGATGATGATGACGATGGTGATGATGATGATATGATGATAGTGATAGTGATGATGATGATGATGATGATGATGGTGATGATGGTGATGATGGTGATGATGGTGATGATGGTGATGATGGTGATGATGATGATGGTGACGATGGTGACGATGATGATGATGATGATGATAGTGATAGTGATGATGATGATGGTGATGATGATGATGATGGTGATGATGATGATGATGATGATGATGATGATAGTGATAGTGATAGTGATGATGATGATGATGATGGTGATGGTGATGGTGATGGTGATGATGATGATGATGATGATGATAGTGATAGTGATGATGATGATGGTGATGATGATGATGATGGTGATGATGATGATGATGATGATGATGATGATAGTGATAGTGATAGTGATGATGATGATGATGATGGTGATGGTGATGGTGATGGTGATGATGATGATGATGATGATGATAGTGATAGTGATGATGATGATGGTGATGATGATGATGATGGTGATGATGATGATGATGATGATGATGATGATAGTGATAGTGATAGT